ACAAAAATTCATGCTGATCCCAGGAGAAAGGAGATGGCTTTGTCATCTACAGCACCCTGACACCAGCTCAGCAATGCAGAGATGGGCCCTACTGACAAATGGGCACAGAGATGCTTCTCTTGTAAAGCAAAGAAGGCTCCTTCTATCATTCCTGTCCATGAAAGACACCCAAGGGATTTCCTTTTTATTTTTTTTTGTTTGTTTTTACTTAGAACAAAAGGCGTCCACAGCTTAGAAATCCAAAAAGCCTCACTGAATGGGACTGAGTGAGAAGTAGAGCTAAATACAATTCACCCATARTCCTTGTAGTTAGTTTCTATCTACCCAGCATTTTCTGTAAGCACCTAAACCCCCTTAWGTAAACACAATATATTGAAACTCTATGCTTAGCCAAGTTCCTTCACTTCTAGCAGCTCAAGGAAACTAAAATGCAAATGAGAACTTTGACACCCCAACTCCCTGATGCAAGACAAGGGGCACAGAAACCAAACAAGAAACCCCAACATGACTGGAGAGCAAGGAACGTGATAATTGTCATCCTTGCTGACTTCTAGCKAGTGCTGCTTGGATGTTTTAATATCACTGTAATTTGTAATTGTYCAAATTGATGACAGCCCAGTTAATGGAGCCATAAAAATTTACACGAGGCTCAAGGCTCCAAGGCATGCCTGTAGGATRGAGTGTGGGGATTTGGGCAAGGGAAGTTAAAGTGGCCTCTTTCCTTCATCCAGGCATAAATYGGGCCATTATGATAAAGGTCTGAGAACGCTCAGGGAATGATTTTTATAGTGCCAGCAGTCAGGAATCTTTCACACTGCCACTGGCAGGGCAGCTTCAAACTCTGTCTGCTGTGTATGGGCACAGAGAATCACAGAATCACAGAACTACAGAATCACAGAATCAATCACAGAATCACAGAAACATAGAATCACAGAACCACAGAGTCACAGAATCAATCACAGAATCACAGAAACACAGAGTCACAGAACCACAGAGAAACACAGAATCACAGAATCACAGAGTCACAGAATCACAGAGAATAACAGAATAACAGAATCACAAAATCAGAGAATAGGGTTGATCTGGGAAGGACCCACAGGGACCAAATCCAGCTCCTGGCCCTGCACAGGACACCCCAACAATCCCCCTGTGCCTGAGAGTGTTGTCCAAACATTTTTTTTGGTTCTGTCAGGCTTGGGACTGTGGCCATTGCCCTGGGCAGTCTTTTCCAGCATCCACCCACTCTAACATGCTAATATCCTGACATTCCCATACAGCTGACATGGGAATCATCCTAAAACACATCTGGAGCACCTCAGCATAGCCCAGCCAGTACCTGCGGTTCTGAATTCAGAGCCAGGAGAGTTGCACACATCATCCTTTGGGCACAGGAAGAGCCTGATACACCCTGGTTTACCCAAAGGGCCYGAGCAGAAGCTGAGGAGTTAGATACTCATGATGACAGAGAAGTTTCTCAATAGGTATTTTAATTTGGGATCCTGCACTGAATTACCACACCCTGGTCCTGCAAATGCAATCTGAGATATGGCAAATATTTGGAAACATATGGAAATCCAGATGTTCCCTCGTGTAGTGCTGGAAAATATCAGTACAGACTATGTTCCATAGATGCCAGTTATGATCTTACATATATTTTTAGAGAAATGCTGCAATTCTTAAAAAAAGAGAAATTGATCTTAATGGTAAGTGACACTTTAGTTCAGTCACAATTACGATCAACCAGACTTACTCTTCGCATTAGAAGCAGGATATGATCCTTAAGTTCACACAGGGTTAAGTTTGTCATCCTCAGAGATTTCTTAATGACCCTTGTTATCTAAACCCTGGCTCGGAATGGTGGCTGTGGATTATGTTTTCAATGCACATCCTCAGACATATTAGGACACGAAGTGAACCTGACAGGGAGAAGAATATTTCCTTTCTCCTCTGAAATGCCCCAGGAGGGTTTTCTGCAGGWGACCTCTTCAGACCTTGGCTCTACATTAGAGTTATTGTCCTGAGAGAAGATTCAGTTAAAACAACAATTCATTTCATATAGTGCTCTTGAGTTTATTCTTGGTGGCAGCTAACTTGTAAAATTTTATTATGGATTCTTCTTTGGTTTGCTTGATGGAAAACAATTATTCCATCATCAAGTCTAAATGATACACCTTCCTAGACTGCACAATCTTCTTTCCATTACTATTTTCAGACAAAATGTTAATTTCTGCTTAAAAAAAAGAAGTTTCAAAACATCCTTCCTAACGTATCAATATATTGTCACAATTCTAAATGGCTGTGTTCAAGCTGGTGTTTATCCTTAAACAAGACATATGAATTCCTAATGCACGTTGATTAAAAAAAAAAAAAAAACCAACTTTTTTTTAAAAGAAATAATGTAAAATAATAATAAGAAGAGGAATAATAATGTAACAGGGCTGGCTGTTGTAGGCAAACACACAAATGCTTGGTAAGAGCTCACCTGTGCCTGAAACAGCCGACACTGTTACCAAAGACACAGTGCAGCACAGTCCTGCCCTGAAAAGTGAGGCTGCACAGAAAAATGTGCATTCCTGCCCGAATTATCAGGCTGTCCTTGGGAATCAGCTGTGTCTCCAGAGCCCTGCTGGGCCCCAGCAGCAGCAGGGACCTTTTGGAGCAGCAGTGCTCAGCTTTTGCAGCTCTGCTCTCCGGACAGAGCCACCCTGTCCAGCGGTGACTCAGGTGCCTCTGCTCTCCACTGCCCAGGGCAGGTGAACCCCAAGCAAGGCAGAGGTTTGAGAAGGGCTTTGCTGCCACCTAGAACCGAGACTACTAAATCCCAGCTGAGAAGCTCTAAGCCAGTTCAAGTGCAGAGCTCTCACTCAGTGGAGTTTTCTCCACTGCAGGCATGGCATTTATTTGGGGGAARTGTCAATGACAGCAGAGCTAAGCCCATACAATTTATTTACAAGCATGTTTTGAGGTGATTGTGGAGTGTAACTGACCTTGAAATACATTGCTCTGTGAGGACTTTGGCAGGGAGCTATTTTTACRCCACAATAAAATCTCCAGAGCTGTGACCCCACCCTGGTTTCGTGCCATGGCTTTGTGCCTGCTCACAGTGCCAACCTCCCAGCCAGGAGAACGAGCTGAAGCCACCCTCTGTCCTGCCTAAGCCTGTGAGTTCCCCAGCAGAAGGAAAAGTGGAGAATGAACATGCCTGAAACCTGTTAAAACTTCACCAGGATTAGAGAAAAGAACCCACCCATCTACAAACTACAGCAGGTGCAGTCACTCATAACTAAAGGTGTTATAAAAAAATGGACAAGTTTGAGTTGAATAGGCCTATTTTCCTGAAAAATACAGCACTTCAGACATTATGTGTTCTTTGTTTTATATAGACACAAGGAAGTCTGATACAAGTTCAAAACCAATGAAAAAGCTCTCACTGATTTCAGGAGTCTGTCCTTACAGGAGGTTGAGCCCAAAATATTTGTATCAATCCTTTTCTTTTAAATTCCCAAGCAACAGACATTTAAATTATAGTTCAGCTCTTATCCCACCAATTTGCTGTTCCAAAGTTACTGCTTCTAGTAGAACTTCCTGTTACAAAGTAATTTACAGATACTTACAGAAGTAAGAATTCACAGATACTTATAGAGCCATTATTCATATATTCGTTTATGTATCAAATGAAAAATCCAGGCCACTAAAAATAYTATGCAGCTTCTTCAGTGCCCTGTGCAGTCAGATTGCTCTGATAAGATGGCAGATGCAACCTAGGAAATTAAACCAAAGCCACTGTGGATTTGTATTTTGAATCTGGTTGAAAGCACAACGAACATTTAAAGCAGCTTTGTACAAAGCCCATTCCCAGGGATGAATCTTGTTTTGTAGCAATTATCATGGTGGGGTCAAAAGCCCAGGTGTTCTAGAGGAAAATGTTCAGAAGATGATTTTATTCTTATTATTATTTATTCTTTAGGCTTATTACAATGTCCTAGGAAACCATTCAGTGGGGTTTTTTTCATGCTTGCATATACCCTTGAACATCAATTTGGAGGCATGCAGAATTATATGATTCCATGGAAATTAAGATGGTAATGAATATTAACATGACAATTAATAATACACATTACTGTGTGTCATGCAGTCAAGTGAGCCAAGGATGAACCAAATGCATTGTACCAACGAACCCCCCACAGTTACAAGACACAAATGAACAGCATTTTGTAATTATGCACAGTGACATATTTTCTCATATCTACTGCCAAAAATAATATCACTTTTTGGAATTAAAAGAGAGAGCAGCAAATAGAAACAGCTATGTCATCAGTAATTGCAAACATGTTTTCAGCTCCAGCTTCTGATAACCATCCAAAGGYGTTCTTTTAATTGGTAAAATTGACAACTGTCCAAAAATAAAGGAGTCCTTAAGGGCCATGATCACTCCCAAGTCAGATAAAGAAATCAGAGTACCTAGAAAGTTTTGCAATGAGATGGGAATCAGCAAATAAGCAGTGCAACYGAAAAGTAAACAGCGCTGCTGCTAAAGGGGATTTTTAGATATTACAAGACTCCATTAACTTTGCCCCATGGGGTCTGATCAAGTTGCCCATGAGAGATGGACAGCAGATTGACTCACTGTATTTAAAATCCAGCCACCTCTCACAGCAGCACTAAGAGGATTGCTTAAGACAAGTCTTCTTAGCACTGGCGCTCTCTAGCATGTGATAAAACAAGCTGATGAAATCCAAAACAACCTTAGAGCTGATAGAGAGTCAGAGAACTTGTTTTCAGAGCTTTACAACCCAAAGATGCTTTTGCAGGGTGTTATTCTCAGATGCAGGTGAGATCTCAGTCCAAAATTCCCCTCAGTGGTGGCTGAAGATCCCCCACCCCATGAGCTGAAGGGGCTCATGTGAACAAGGGCTATAAAATGATCCAAAGGAAGGCAGAGGGAGCCTCTGCCAGGTCTGTTCTACAGCCAAAAAGGCATTTCATCAGCCTGATCATGTTTGAACATTAATCCTTACTTAACAAGGATTATTGCTTGATAACATCACGGGCAAGCAGGAAAGGAAGGTCCCTACTCTGAAGTTTCTTATCTAAAGAAATTTTGTCTTTCAAGTATCACACTATACCCCAGTTAGACAGCCAAGACAGAAGCCCATAGACTCTGCTCCTCATCAACTGAACAGGAACTAGGACACTGAAAACATCTTATACTTGGTGTCTAAAGAATTCAGAATACCAAAATATCTCCAAGTCTTAGATGGCATACAAGTTAATGAAAAAACCTTCAGTGATAACAACTCTAGTGTTGGTCATTTCCAGCTGGAACTGACCAGGAGAGTTCTCACCAAGAAAAATATCTTTTTATTCACTTGGCTGAACAAACACACACTAAAAGCCTACATGAATGACAATTTTCTGTCCCCTCCCCACACAGGACTATYCCATTCATCTCATATCAATATTTTGCCATCTGCTGCTAAAGGTTTTTGGAGAAGTAAGTTCCAAGCTCCCTTGAAATCAGCATTTCTCTCTATAATTAGCTGCCTCCTGTCCATTTGAAGTGTTTAAGTGACTGAAAATACTGAATTCAAAGAGTAATTATTAAAACCTGTTGGGGCCCAAAAGTTGCCACAGACATATCTTTGTGTACTTCATAAACTATGTGTAAACATGTATTTGGACAGTTGTTGAAAATGTTTAATATTTCCCAAACACCACAGCTCTTTCCAAACAGCATAGCTCRATGGCATAATGCACATTTAAAGATTTTTTAATAGCCTGTTTTATTTATAGTTATTTACTCAATAGAGTGCATCAAGCTTTCCAAACCTCTGTGAGCTAAGTGTGAACTAAGTAGGCATTCACGCATTGTTTAAAAAATGTGTCATTTGCAGATGATGGWTTTGTAGAACACCCTGAGATCAGATATTGCACCTCAGGAAAAATAACTGACTGTCCTGAAAAAATTGACTGTACCTGGGGGGAGTTACCATGATGCTTCTGCATCCACAGGGAACAAATCTGCTTCCAGGGTCCAGTGTGAATCCAAGGAATGCCCATGAACCAATGCTCTTACACTGTTTTGCTCCTCTTGGTAAGCAGCAGGATAATTCAACTTTTTCTAAAACACATGGAAAGTTACAGAGGAGGCAGAGCCCACTGTTAGTAAGATTTCTTCCTCAAACTAGTAYTAAAATAGAATAGGAACAAACATTTAGCAAAGTTTCTTTGTTTCTCTCTAGTTCAGCTGGCCTTTTTCATGTAAAACTCAAAACTGAAATCTCTTTCCTCGAGTTTTACAACATGCTCAATTCAAGCATGGTAACAAAGGTTGGTAAAGAAAGAATCTGACAAGTAGGACACCACAGATTATTCAAGCCTGATTTATTTTAAGATCTGTTTCCCATTGAGTAGGTCATTCACAAAAATCTGGTTTCTGTTTCAGTGCTGTCACTACTCTGTTGATGGTCATCACTGAGCAGCACACCTCAGTTTTCTCCTCCTGCAAAGTCCTTTGCAATTTGTTTTGAGATATAAAAATGCTGAGCTCTCTAACAACTAAAAATAGTTGTGATTGGTTTTGGTGTTGGTGCTGTTGTCAAGAAAAGTTTCTTTAAATGCTCAAGCTACAGCTCTGTCCTGTGCAGAAACTACTAAAATAGAATCCCAAATGCTATTGCATCACCAACAAAGCTGGAAAATATTCAGAGCACTTAAGAGATTTGCAGAGATAGACTTAAGAGTGCAAAGTGCATCAAACAATTTACCACAGGTATATCTATGTATCACAGGTATCAAATTCAATTTCAAATGCAAGAAGGGAAAACTTGAGAGATACGAAATTCATGTACTGTAATTAAATGGGAAACACATGCAAACTGCAGCAAAAAATAATAGAAACATGAATYGTGGATGTTGCATCTGTCTGTTATTAAGGTGGGAGTGGCAATGATTAGTAGAAATAGGGTTGCAAAATTATTTCTTATATAATATCACTTCCTGTGCCCACAGGGTAAACGTGATAAAGACATCTCAGCCTTAGGYGAGGGCAAAGGCAGAAAGCTGAGATCTTTCTGCTGGGAAAGAGCAGCACTGGGCTGCACAGAAGCCAAAGGAGGTGCCAACTTCTCATCCTTTGAAGGTACCAGCAACCAGTCTTGGAGCTGGCACACCTCTTGGAGAGAAAGATAATTCTGCCAGGGATCTGCTGCCTGGATATCCCAGTCAAGGAGAATCTGCACAGAGTCGTCCTGCACAACAGAGAAGTGCTAAATATGCTCTAAAAGCTCCAAAATGTTGATTTTGTGGACAGTCTATCTAAATTCAATGGTTCATCAATGGTAATTTTTGCATACACCCTTAGACCCACTCTGAAGGAGAAAGTTCCCATGCTCAGCATTATCCAGGACCCTTTTCATGCATGAATTTTAAACCAGCCCCATAAAGCACAGACAGGGGTGTCTCTCAGGATCCTCCTCCACACAGGACTGGAGCAGCAGCCAGGCACTGGCACACGATGGTGATGGGCTGAGCTTTGGCTCTGAAAGTGAGACCCAGAAGTGCTCCAGGGGCAGAGCTTCACCCTGAGCTATCAACACGAGATAAAGGCCTGGCACGCTGGAGCTGGCAATCTGGGTGGAGGATCTGCCCCCTCCACCCAAGCCTGACTCACTGCACATCCCTGAGAGAGGAAGGGGCAAGATCTTGGATGTTGGCTGAAGCAAGAAATTAGTTTGGCTGCCTTTTGGAAGGGYTGAAAGAGGTGACCTCAGTGGGGACACAGGAAATTTTCAGCGCTGAAATTCCACATTAGGTCTTCTGCCCACCACAAACCAGGGTGGGCTGCAGTAGATTTGAGTGATGCTCTCTGTGCAGCTGCACTGACTCCCAAACTTGCAAGGGAGAGGAATTGAACCAGTTATATCATCTCTGCTTCCTGCTGTTCCCAGGAGCTGCATTGCTCGGGTACATCACTGCAATGGCACACGTGCCCAGTCCTTGCATCCATGCTGCTTTGAGCCCTGCTGCTTTAACAGAACCAACAAAAATGCTGCTGGACTCTTTACACACTGTGCTGGGTTTGGAAAAGGTGCAGGAAAGAGGGTATTTTTCTGCAAACAGGATTTTTCTTAAGTAACATAGTCACTTTTTGCTATTATAAATACAAGAGCAACAATAATATACACAGGCCTGAGCAATAATGGAGATTCTGGCAGATATTTTTTTTCCCTGTCATAAGCACACTAAGCCTAAGGCAAAGTTTTCCTCTATTTAATAAAGAAAATGGAAAGGTAGGGAAAAAAATAAAATTAAAAAAAACACCCTGAATGGCCTCTCAAATTATACATCGTGCTAAATATTCAGGGCATTCTTTCCCACAAACATTTTAAGTGGATGAGAAAGAGGTTTGTCTTCTTGACAGTTCACATCCTCTTGTGGGCCAGGCTCGTTCCTCTGCAAGCTCACTGAAGTCAATGACACAGCAGCAGGGATGACAGATGAAGCTCATGGTCCACATTTCAGGGGTTCCTCTCTACCATTCTGACAAATCAGCTCAGGATTAAGATGCAAGTGAAGAGGTTCAGGCTGAGGAGAGACCTAAAACGGCACAAACAGTAAAATCTGTGCAAATGTGTGTGCAGTTCCACTCTCAGCATCTTGGCTACGAAGGAAGGGCTTGAACAATSTCACAGTAACATTATTTTTCAGTACCTGCTTGCAGTGACACCTGCTCTGGCTGTTTGGGTTTTTTTCCCCAGTTGTAGTGAGTTGCCATCACTCTCACTGCATGGCTTGTTACCTTTCCTGTAAAGAGCAAAGTTAGATGTGTTTGCTGCTGATCACCAGCGGGTCAGCCTGCAAACAGCTTTGCAAGCCATCAGTTTCAAAACGCTTCCAACTTCCTTCAAAACACCAGCAAAACCCCAYTGGCCTTTTCAACTGGAAATAGGAAACCTGATTTCAATAACAGGTGTAGAACAACCTGAATTTATTAGCAATTGAATTAGGAGTTCACCACAAGTCCAAATGAAAATCAGTAAAAAGGAAAGTGAAGAAGACAAGAAGCAAGAGCTGTGACCATCCATCCAAAAWTAACTTATCAGCTATCAAGCAAATAAGTGCTATGGTAAAAGCTTTTTCATGTTAGGCCACTTGTTCTTCATAATAATTAAAATACAATGCTTTAATAAAAGAGTTTCATTTATATTCTGATAGTCAAGCTAGCACTTAACTTGATTTTGGGCTGTTCTCAATTAAGAACTGTTTATGGTCTCCAAAATCCCTTCTTGGATGCCTCTGAGGTTCTGCACCAGAAAGAGGAGGGGAAAACTGGCAAATCATGATGGAGATATGAGAACTGTGCTGGGAAAAAAAAAAGCAAACCCCCCTATGGAATCTGGATTCTGAACTCAACCAAAGCCAAGCTGCAATGAAATATAAAACTTTGGCCAAATTCCTCAATTCTAGTATCATCATTTTCATTTACAGCACGTATTGATTTCACATCGGGCAAGCCACCGTTTTTAAGACAAATTTTCCATTCTCAAGGTTTTCCTCTGCCATTTCCCAGCCCCACCTCCCACGCTGAGCCTCCCACGTKTGAGTTGGATCCCCAAGGCACGGAGCTGCCCTTGGACAACCCCATCCCCGCTGACAGTGAGGATCAGCACGTCCCTGSTGCCCCATCCCCCCGTTTTTTGGAGGCCACCTGGCTGCCTCACGCCGTGCTGAGACACAGAGGAGCAGCACACACCCTCTGATATCACAGGGAAACCGTCAGCACATGACAGAGGCAGCCACTGCTCTTCCTCACTTCAAAAGACAATACCCTGGCWCTAATAACCCTTCACACTTAGCAACAGCCAGCTCTATAAACAGTAATTAAAGATGCCTTCTGGTGTACCTGCAAAGGAAACATGATTTTCGTTCTCCACAAGGACCACATTGTCTTTAGTGACTTCGGATTAAAGGAGCCAACCTTAAGCACAAAAGGCTTAATTTTCAGGGGAACAAGCAGCTACAGGTCACATTTTATAACCTTTTAACAGTGTCTCCTAAGTGCAGGTAGAAGTTAAAATCTGAGATTTTCAGCAGAAAGCCTCACAGTCTTTCATTTCAGAAGCTTTCTGCACAGTCATAATAAGTAATTTTGAAAGAGGGGCAGGATTCATACGGCAAAGATTGTGAAATTCACTAAATCATTTTACATATACGTATTTTAAAAAAACAAAAACCAAAACCCTTGCTTATTCCCCTGACATCGCATTGAGTAAACCTGCCAGGGATGAATTAAAGCAGCATTCTGAGATCCACTATATTGACTGTTCATTGGCTTGTTCCTCTCCTTTTATTTCAGTCTTCGAGCTGGCCAAGGCTTTTGCCACTCCTCATTTCTCCCAAAATTAAGCCCCCCCTGAGCCCTATCTGAAGTGAGAACTGGTGACAGTTGCAGCCCTGCCCACTCTGAAAACCCAGCACARCCTGGGTGAGCCCAGAGACGCCAAGTCACTGCTCTGTCTAATTACAAACCCGAGGCAGATTAACCTTTGATGACTAAATTAATCTTCTAAATAAAATGAATATGCATCAGCCTGCAAATTAGGATTAAATGCTTAGCAGAATCTTTATGTGATCAAGCAGGTTTTGTGGTGCAGATGTTAACCATTAACATAAAGCAATAAAATCATTCTTTTTTTCTTATAATAACACCTAACAATTCCAAAGCCACCTTTCATCTGAGAATCTCAAAGGGTTTCATAAACATAATTAATTAACCCTCTCAGCATCTGAGACGAGAGCATAATAACATCTCCATCCAAGAGCTGAAGAACCAGAGGTGCAGCACCGTCGTGGATCTCGTGCCTCGGACTCTGCGTCATGGGGATGTTCAGTGCTTTAAGGAGAAGGGAAAGAGCAGCTTTGTGCTGCCTCCAGCCCTTCTCTCACACTGATGGCTTCTCCACGAAGCTGAACTACTGCCATCCCCCTGCCAGAAATGCCCATGGAGGCTCTGAACAGCCAGGAGAGGTGGGCACTGCCTCACCTGACACCATCACCAGGACAGCTTTCTTGGAAAAAAACATGGAACTTGGCTCACCAGGGACCACATGAAAACTTCACACTACCTAAGCTGCTACCTAAAATAAATCATTCCAGCACAGGGGGTGAATTTTTTCTAGAGGAAAAAAAGAAAAATTTCTTCTGGATTTTTTTTTGGGCATTGAAAACTACAAGTCCCTTGAGGTATCTTTTCCTCACACATGCCAACAATTTTGTCACAAGGAGACCCCAGTGACAGCATTCCCACTTTTTTTTTTTTTTTTTCCTAGACTGCTGGTGCCCCTGCATTGTGATTCCTATGTCTGAATGAAGTAAAAAGCTTGCAAGGAATGTTACCACTTCCATCCACATTCTGACACTGACATGAGAAGAGATGTGCCTGTGGTTCCTCCAGGCTCTCACAGAAAAGCAAATTATTTCAGAGAATCAAGGAAAATTGCTGAGGACTGCTTTTTGTACTCCTTCTTGAAATGGGATATTCATTTCCAAGTGGTTCACAATAAGGAATTTAGAAAATGTATACACCATGACTTTTCAGCCTTACTACCCTTGATTTTAATTTCATTATTTTCAAACCTCATGCATTTCATTATTAACAAACTGTAAAATTAAGTTTTCATTTGATCTGTTTARGTCAAAAATAGTGTGAGAGTATTGCTGAGCTACAGACAGGCATGTGAGAATTCACATTCYTGATAATTCAATTTGTTGGCACATTTTGTTGTCCAATTGTGGCAGTTTCTCCTGGTGTATAAGTTTTCTTTTATGTAAACTCATCTGCTGGTGTAAAATGTCTGTTGCTGTAAATGTAATTTTATTTGTCTAAGAGGTAATTGAATAAGTTCCCAAGTTGAGTTTAAAATTCTTGGCTATTAAAAGGAATTTTGAACTGAAAATTTACCTTTTTGTCAGAATATTGACATCACATATATAATTTTGACATATAAGCCACTTCCACAGTACTGGAAGTTGGACATTGAAAAGCATTTGTTGTTTTCATACAATGACTGCTAAAAYCCATGGAAAAATTCCAAGGACTTTAATAAGCCTTGAATTGGGCACATTATTACTATGAATGWAATTCTGGATACTTCTCATAACATCTAGGCCATGTGAGAAACTTAGGAAAAGCAATTAACATTCCTCCATCGACTTTYGTATTTACATTTGAAATTTACCATTTAAGACTTTAATTCTCCATWAAACTGCTTAAATATACATAACTTCAGTGTTATTTAAATGTTTTATGATCTTCCTGAAATGATCCGCTAATTAAAACCGCTTACTTAATTTAGTATCTTAAATTTACCTACTTCTGTTTTATTTGGAAGGAACTGGATTTAATGCTCAGTTTTTGTTCATTTTCTTTCYGAGAAAATCTTAATTTGGAAGGAAAATTATGATTATATGCTAGGGAGGAGGATCTCTTGAAGGCTGCAGACTTAAACCAGTGGTAATCATTAGCCACCATGTATGACATGATGTATATAATTAAGAAATAAATTTATTACAGAAACTTGGAATTATCAATTAAAAAGTAGTCAGGGCAGTCCCCCAAGGTCTGATATGATTACCTGAGTTATCTGGGCTGTCACTTTCAATGCTGGCTGGAATCTCAAAGAGCTCGGAGGGGGCTCCCTGTGTCAGGTTAAATAAGTGAGACAGCCTTAGTGGAAAAATGCAGCGGAACAGGCGGGTGCAAACTGAACTCTTCTGGAGGAGAACAGAGAGATCAGCTTCAACCTGAATATTACTGGCAAGCTGTTCTTCTTTCCTCCTGCACTCCTGAATGGGCTGGCAGGACCATTCCATCTCTGGCTGCACCCCAGTCTCCTTGGTGGRTCAGGGAATGCTGAACCTTGGGTCRTTAAAGGACAATTMACATTTTTTTCTTACTTATTACCTCTGCAGGCTTTGATTTTTCCTTTGAGTTTCCTCATGTTTAAGGCCAGAAGAGACAGTTAAATTATCCAGTCTGACTTTGTATACCTGCCAAGCCACTGAGCTACACTCACTGACCTCCTTTTCTCTAAGCTCCCTGTCATCCCACCRATCCACAAACATGTCTAAATTATGAGACAGTGAATCAGTGCAAAATAATAAACAGCCTCTCCCACCCGCCTTTCTCTCCAAAATCCCAGCTCCAGCAAAATTCTGTTGCTCACCCTGAAACAGAATGAAAAATTTGGCATCCTCTGATGAATTGGATTTTGTTTTTTGTGCAGAGTGTCTCACATCTCTATTGCTCTGGGCTCTAGTTTGGACTAAAAATAAAATTAATAGAAAGTGTCACCTCATCATATTTTTTACCTCATTGGTGTAGATGGATCTTAAATACTTTATATCCAGCCATGGAGCTGAGTACACCTATTTATGAATTCAGATACAAACTGAATGAAGTCAAAACAMAAGCTGTTTATCCACAGACTCAACATAAAAACTTAATTTTTAGAAGCMCTATAAAACTTCTTCAAACCAATATACATCAAGAAACATAACACACTGCTCACAACTCCAGTACCTGCCTCTGCAGYGAAAGTTTTGACATTTACCAGAAACAGAGGAGAAGAAAATAACAGCCTAAAACTCATGATAGGGTTTTTCAGGGTATGATTTGAAGACTGTCTGTTGGCTCCGAAATAAAGAATMTTGGAGGCACGAGGAGCCTGACAGACAGTGATTGTCTCCTCTTTCAAAGCCGTGCTGACAGCATCGACTGTTGTTCACTTTGGTATCAGGGAGTGTCAGGAAGAGTGAAACACTTCTTACCTTAGCACGTCATGCAAAATTTAGCACCTCAGTCTCTCCCTGGATTCGCCCCACGAGCGCTCCAAAGCGTGCACAACRAAACCACATGAAACTCAGATGATTTCAGATCACGTTACAAAGTCAAAACACAGAACAGATTCACAGAAACATTTGCTAAGGTTCACCAACCTGTTGAGAGAACCTGGGCCCGGTTCCAAGCAAATCTGGATTGATTAATGTTTTCTTTAAATCAACATCACCTGATGTTCYTTGCTACTGATGTGAATCTCAGCTTTGCCTTTTCTCTTTGGGATTTTGGGCTGGTGTGAGTACACAGCTGAAAACAGCACATGGAATGCACATTCATCTGTGTATAACTGAAGAACRTGTATCACTGCTTCTGCAAGGGAATAAAATATTGCAAAACCTGCATCCCTCCAGCCTCATCAGTATTTTGAACTAYTATGAGCTTTTGGGGGTGGGATTGRTGTGGAGCTTTTTTCAAACTGTCCATGCCTTTAGGAACACTGAAGTAAAGGAGATCTTTCTGTATGTCAGCCATGGGATGAAATCRAGACACAGTCAGCTGTGCAAGGAATGGAACCTCTCTAATGGATCTCTTGAAATCAATGGAACTACTTATGGACTAATATACCATTACCCATTGTGAGTGAGAGCTACTGTAAATAAGCTTTGGAAACCATATTCCAGCTACAGCTGTGCTCGGTGGTTTGTAATATTCCAGCACTTGCTCAAATATAAATAAATGAAATAAAGTGGGAGATGGTGATACTCTGGTTTCTGCTCTGACTGCACATTTGTTGGAAGTGTCTGAGCAATCAGAACACTACATAAATACCTTGCCATGCCTGTGGGATTCCATGCTAATTTATAATCCATCACTGAAGCAGGCAGCAGCTCTTGAAGACATGCTAAAGCCCTTCCAGGGTGAATGTAATTCATTGTTACACTCTCTGGCTCTGTGTTTATTTCCTCTTGCAGGAAGAAGTGGCTACACGTGSAGCAGCTGTATGCTGGAAATTTCACTTAAAATTTGCATCATATTAAATAATTATTGACCAAAAGTTCTGTATTTTATCACATCTGATTTATCTTCTTCTTTCTAAACAAATTCTTTGACAGCAACCTTTATATTCAGGAACTCTACTTTGARCATAGCATGTCTATACCTATATCTTTATCTGAAAACTGACAGGTTTTCAGGATTGAGACACATAAAACTATTCAGATAAACAAGAAGAACCTGTCCCACCCTGTTCTCACTACACATATGTGTCTATCTTGTGTATCCAAAAAATACCTGTTTATCACGGTTGTGTTATTTATTTTCTTCATTTCTGATTCCTAGTTTCAGATAAACAAAAAAACTGAGGAAAATGTTAAAGAACTGCTAAAGTTTCTGTTGGAATAGAAAAGGAACAGGAATATTGTAARACAGACTATTCCCTCAATATCTTCTGGCCAATTTGTAGTCCCAGCAGATTTGCACAAACTTTGAACAAGCACAGAGGCCTGGCAGCGCTGACATGAACTGAACCCTCTTGCCTTGTGAAAGTCAACCACTGAGACTTCACAGACAGCTTTGGCAAAACACAGAGAAGATCAGCCCGAAAGAAAAAGAGATTTAAAACCGACTGGGTTCTTCAGGAAAATTTTTGTCAGCAACTGAAAAAGCCCTCAGCATTTCATCAGGGAATTTTCTTGCAGCTTAATTTCTCGCTGATACGTTTGTGTTGCTGGGGTCCAAACCCAATGTTCCGGGCTCCTGCTTTTCCTTTTGCTGCTGACTGAACATCAGTGCCCATAAATGATCTGAAAAAAGGAATTTTCAATGTTCAGGCTGTAAATATGTCACTGAGTCCCAGGAGCCTAACATATGTCAAAGGCATGAAATGATGGCCACGAAAGGGAGCTCTACATCTGTGTTTGCTTAGCAGGAGAACTGCAGGGCTGACCTGTGCACTGATGTGGCTGTTTAATATGGTCTCTGCAAACGGTTCAATACCATCAGAACTGCTGGTTAATCCTCTTACCAGTACCATTGACATTATTTCATGTTCTACTAATTCCAAGCCATCTGCAGAAACACTTGCCTCTCTGGCAAGTCAATAGAGAGTGGCCAAATTTTTTTAAAGGCTGCAGCTCTAATAATCTACTGTGTATCATTTCAGAACAAGTTTTTTTTTTTTTTCTTTTTTTTTTGTTTTTTTTTTTTTATGGGACCATTTCTGCATAATGTCATAGCGTGAGTCTCACCTCATTCTACTGGTGTGAGTCAGGAGTAATGGTAATGAAAATGCACAGGAAGGACTGAATTTTGAAACAGCGTATTCTGAAACAAATATCCAAGGGTATTCTGAGATTATATCTCCAAAGGTGTTCACATGCAAAAACCTTAATTATTTGGATTTCAGAAAAATAAAAATGTATTTCAAATGGAAAAAATAAAAAATTGTGGGATTTGAAAAATTTCAGGGGTATCTGTATTTCTATTTTGCAACTCCTTGAGYAGTTTTTGCAATGTTTTCTCTTTCATTTGAATTTCCCTTGTAGACTTTGTGATAATCATAAAAACAGACACAATCACATTTTTCATAAAGTGATTCCCAACTCAATGTTGAATATTACAAAAAAAAACCACTCAAAACTACCCAAGAATGAAAGAAGAAAATRTCTGGTTAAAAACAATCTCTCTTAATGATTTTCCAATGTATTTCCAAAGAGTCCCAAAGAGTGCTAGACSGTGAAGGRGAAGGATGCAAAGGAGTGAAAACTTTCTGACTTTGGAAGGAACTAATGCTTTTGAAGCTGTCCAATCATTCTTACCTCTCTTTGCAACCTTTAGGGAGTCACAATCCATCCAGGAGAATCAATTATTGAATGGAACAGTAAGAGCCCTGTGTCACCGTTCCTGTCACGTCACTGTCTTCTGTCGGGAAGCACCGAGTGTGAATGAACTGCAGAAAAAAACAAAAGTATTTCAAAATCTGGGAGTCTGGTTAACACCACTGTCCTGCTTTGAGCATTGCACACAGCAAAAACTGGTGGAGGAAAGAATGTTTCTGTACACAACACGCTCAGGCTCCCACTACCACTTAATCCCTCTTCCATCTCTGCCAAATTCCAGCTGCAGCCCGTACTCGCCTCCAAAGCAGGGCTAAAAGCAAAGTGAGTCCTATCTGTTGGCTCCTGCACCAGCATTTCACAACAGATATCAGCAGATTAGGTGCTAAGTGGGACTATTTGCACTTTTGCTTATGGCACATATAATTATGTAATTCTGTATAATGCCCAAATGACTGTTTGAGTCGCAGCTGCACAAAACACAGGCATTGCTTGGACAGCACAGAAAACACAAATTGAAACGAAACCAGCAGAGTAAAAAATACACAAATATATGTACATATACATATATTTATAAATCTTAAGGGCTGTCACACATGGAACAAGACCATGTCAGTGGAACCACTGACAAGGAGCACTCTGCCTCTGCTCCGTTAAAGTTTTGCCAGTGACAGTCCAGTGACATTCAACTTACTTTTCCTAATTTTTACATGACACGTGCCCTAATTTCATTTCACAGGAACAGAGCTTCCCTGAGCTTTGATTGAAAGGATCACAAAGCATCAAGGTTAATTTGAAGTGCTGTAATATTTTAAAATACATCCTTCTAAGCATATGGGTAAGGTGGTTGCMGTGGTAGGAGTCTGCCACAGAGGTGCTCCATAGAGGTCAAAAGGAGATCACTATTTGTTTAATTTAAATAAATCAATTTTTTAAACAAGGAGCWGCTGAGATTATACAGTAAGAGGGTGGAGAGCAAAGAAAGATAATTATTTTTGTTTGCATAAATCATTTTCTTATTACTTGGGGATCAGGATGGTATTGTTTGGGTTTGAGAAAGGAGGGCAAAAGAAGATAACTGTATCAATTTGCTGATCAGGGTTACACGGGATTTTGCTGCTGGGGCTGGAGAAAGGAAAGAAGATCATTATTTTTATTTAAATAAATCAATTTGTTGTGATCAGGGATCACATGAGGTTGTGCAAGGAAGGCATAGGAAATTCTCCTTTATGGATAGCTGTTTGCAGAACAGATGGTTCAGGCATTATTCTATCAAATGGAAAATGGACAAAAAAAAAACCACTTCAAGACCACAGAGATGGATTTCTATTTTTTTCTTTTGACAGACCCTGACTCTGTCATCTTGTATTGGTCTCTAACTTGAGTTAACATATTCACTGTTACACTTTTAACGCACAGAATCAGGATTATACATATGTATGTGTGTGGATGTGTATGTAAAATGTATATAGACAATTAGAGAGAGAGAAAGAAGAAAGAAAAAGAAAGAAGGGAAGGGAAGGGAAGGGAAGGGAAGGGAAGGGAAGGGAAGGGAAGGGAAGGGAAGGGAAGGGAAGGGAAGGGAAGGGAAGGGAAGGGAAGGGAAGGGAAGGGAAGGGAAGGGAAGGGAAGGGAAGGGAAGGGAAGGGAAGGGAAGGGAAGGGGGGAGCTATGAGGGCCTGATCCTGCAAAAGCCCTTGTACTTTGAGGCAATGCTGATGCAACTCCTGTACAAACTGTGATTCCTTCCCAGGATATCAGACCAGTTCTCCAGAGGGGAATATTCACTGAAATCAATGGCCATTCTGTGCACACACACTTTAAGGGCCTGATATTTGTTGCCTCTTTTCTCAGGCAATTAATGAAGCTCTGTGTGTAATTTTAAAGGCCCTTCATGAACTAACTGGAAATCTACAGTACTGAACATCAGTGAACTCATATCCAAAACTAATAGCTTCAGTATCACTGCCAAAAATTGACTAAGCGCTCTTTGTGCCTGCAAATGGGGTTCTGTAGGCAGGATCCTTCTATCTGCCTTCAAGGGATAATCTCCTCTTACAAATAAAACAATTGTTTCATTTGCTCGTTGCAATGGTTGAATGAGGCTGCAGAAATGAATCTCACTGGTTTTGAATGTTCTCAAGTCAATCAAGAGCGGATTTGGGGAGTGGGGTTGCTTTCAATTACCATGTGTTGCTATTTGTAAAACTGGTTTTAAAAATGTCTTTTCACAGGTTTGGATGGGACTCATGGAAAATAATAAGCAAACCGTTCCTCTCAGTATACCAAATTAAAAGACAGCTTGAATATACAGTAAAAGTCAAGAATCCCTATCTGTAAGATCAAGTGCCCCACATATTAACCTTGGAGTGAAAAGAAGGAATAATCCAGTTAGCTCTTTAACGAATAAAAAACAATGGTGAAGTAATTACAGAAAACAGTGTGCTGCAACCATCCCTTGGATACTTTCAGAGCCAGTGATGCAGTCCAAGGGATCAATTTGTGTTTGTAACATGAATGATAAATCTAACTAAACATCTTTATTTTTACAGTACGTTAAAGAAGCATTTTTATTTAGTGCACTCATATTTCTCCACATTATTCTGAAGCATGCTTCTTTATTGCTTTTATGTCTCCAGAACTGCCTGAGGAAAGCATCCTTTTCTCCTTGTGTTTCATTGTTGTTACCCTTGTAGAGTATAACATGCACAAACTTGATTATGATTAATTGAGGGCTTTGGCAAATCATGTTTTTATTCCTTTCCATCTAAGTCTTCCATCTGCTCAAGAAAATAAAAAAAAAAAAAAAAGAAAGAAAGAAATTTCACATTTATAAGGACACTTAGGGCTTTCTGAGTAAATCATCAGAACAACTGGTTAAGCAATAAAGGCCAAGTCTTCCTTCAGTCTTACATCAACACATTAATGCATCTCCATCCCGCAAGGGAGGGTGAGAGAGGGTGACGACTCCTCCAACCTCATTCAACCCAAACTCTTGCTGCTGCAGAGCTGGAATTTCAGATTGAGTTTAGATTGTWGCTCAGTTAGATCCTGCCACCAAAGAGCCCCTTGCAGCAGGGAAGTGTGGGGTCTGCAGACACAAGCAGCCGTGTCCCTCGGCACCAGGTAACATCACCAGGCTGATTTTGGGAGCTGAAGCTCTCACCCAAGGTGATGCAGCTGCACTGAGCAGCCCTTTGAGCCTGGTGTACCACATCAGATAAGGCCCTTCCTCCAGGGTTTATGATTCAAGTAGAAATGCTTGCCATCCCCTGGAASTTGGCAAATGAGGTTGCACTTGGCAGTCTGGGGTTTTCTTACCAGGATGAATGACAGAAGCGAGAAGTCGTGTTCAACCTGTATGACTGTGAGGAGGAAAAGGCAGGGCTTTTGCATTTAAAGGCAGCCTTGTTCTCCAGCCTTGCTGGCACAGGGCACAGAGTGGTGATGAGAAGGCAAAATTATTGAGGAATCTGCTCCTCTGAGACCGCAGAGTTGAAATAACAAAAAACCCAAACAATTTCAGCAACCAGAAYGCAGATACAACCAGTCTGGACAGCTGGTGGCGTGGGGACAGGGGCTGTGGATTTATGACARGCTCAGCACCAGTGGCATTTTTCTTACTCAGCCAATAATGTGAATTGAGTTGTTGGCCTTGGCCCAGGTCCCTGTGAGCAGCACTGAGTGATGGACACCACAGCACTCCTGAACCACCACTGAGGCACAAAGGTGAGGTCTGCACACCTGACCCAGCACTGGAGTGATCTGCTGCTGTAAATCAGTCATAAATGTGGGARGGATAATAACCATCACCAAACATGGGTCTAATTGCCTGTGAAGGTGGCACCCAGGGGCTGGCAGGGGAGTTACTGCAGTGTCACAGCACACTGGTGGTCAGGGTGGAGGATGACTGACATCAAAAGACAAGGARTCTGTGGTTCAGCTGAACCAAACCAGATTTAGAGGTAGAAACCGAAGCTGCACCTCCTCTGCTGGAGTTTGCAGAAGATCCTTGTCAAAGGTGTACTGACCTAAAACCTCTCAGCAGCTCACTGAAAAGAAATTCTCTGCTAGCCTTGGAGTAGATCAAGAAAATACTTTGTGCAATAGACATGGTTTGGGCAGAAAAAAAACAGTTCTGTGAATACACAATACAGATAAGAGTCCTCCATGACAGAGTGAAGAAAGGACAGAGCAACAGATGAATGCCACATGGCTGTAACCCAGGCACTGCCCCTGTACCAGGAAAGAACAGTCCCTTCTYAGCATGGAAAGGAGGGGTGTTCTATTAATCAAATCCAGAATGGTTTCATTTCCAGTTGAGCCTCCCTTCATGTTGGTCAAGTGACTTCAGCATTCCATTTCTGAGGCTCACACAAAGGAGAGGCTGCATTTACTCACTGCTGCACAGCATCTCAGCACGAATGATTCATTGGAGTAAACTTTTCCAGTGAGATGCAGTGACATGGCTTGGACAGAAGTGAGGGGTGTGTGACGACTTCACCCCTCCCTGGAGCAACCCCTGCACCTCCAGGCCCAAAGGGACCACCACACAGAAAATGAGATAAATAATCTGGTGACAAAAGCTCTTGGAATCTCTGGTCAGAAACCCCTGGAATTGTTGTCCCAGCTTGTTCTGGGGACTGCTACAACTGCTGCAGTCCCCTCCCGTGTCTCTGCTCACACACTGTGTATACACAGGGGCACAAAGTCAATTCAGTCTCCTGTGGAGAGCTCTGCATGGATCCTCTTTAATTTGGCTTTGTGCAAGTGTGAGAATCTCGTCCTGATGCTCTCTGGGTACTCAGGGAAATGTTAGAATGGCAGCACAGCAGAAATGGAAAATGCATTCTCCTTCTTTGGCAACAAATAATTTATTTCATGTCCACCACCCTTTTTTTTTATTTTCCTCTCCTCTCTGTATTTGTAAGTGAAATTAAATTCTGAGGAGTTTAGCTAATAATTATTGGTGAGAAGATCCTTTCAATCTCTCAAGATAAACAAGAATGGGTTCTGGCTGACACCAATTGCATGCCATGTGACTCTCCTATTTTTCTGATTTAATAAATATTAACCTTTCTGCCTTTTAGGAGCATTATGCAAGATTTTTTTA